AATATGACGGATGTCCGACGTGAATTGCGAAATATAATCTAGGTGACGTAATTCACGCGGTGAATATCTGTCAGTAGTGGTGTGTAAGGCATACGTCAGAGGTTTATGGTCGGTAAAGATGATGAAGTCACGACCTTCCACAAAATGACGAAAATGTTTCACTGAGGCATATATGGCGAGCAGTTCCCTGCCGAAAGTGCTGTACCGCATTTCGCAGGTGGATAACTTCCGAGAGAAGAATGCAACTGGGATCCAAGTGTGATCCGAAAGTTGTTGCAACACAGCTCCAATGGCCGTGTTAGAGGCGTCAACCGCAATGCTAAGAGGTAGGTTTACGTCTTGATGCACCAGCATCGTGGCGTCTGCTATTGCGGTTTTGATCTTGCGAAATGCTTCTAGTGCCTCAGGAGTCAAGCTGAAAGTTTTACATTTACTTTTCAGCAGGTCGGTCAGTGCAGTCAAAATGTGTGCACATTGGGGAATGAAGCGACGATAATAGCTCACCATACCCAGAAACACACGCAGAGCTTTAAGTGACGCTGGGACTGGGAAGTCTTGGATCGCCTGTACCTTTTCAGGTAGTGGGCGAATGCCTTGCTCGTCGATAACGTGTCCCAAAAATTTTAGTGAACGAACGCCAATTTGGCATTTGGCCAGGTTGACTGTCATCGAATGCTCTGACAGTCTGGCGAAAACCTGTTTCAAGTGGTTAAAATGGGTGTCTTCGTCTGGACTAGCGATTAGTATATCGTCTAGGTAGGCATAGGCGAAATCGAGTCCACGTAAAACATCGTGAATAAAACGTTGGAAGGTTTGTGCTGCATTGCGAAGACCAAAAGGCATACGGAGGAACTCAAAAAGACCAAACGGTGTAATGACGGCTGTCTTGGGAACATCATCAGGATGAACCGGGATCTGATGATATGCACGCGTCAAGTCAAGCTTACTGAAGATAACCGAGCCTTTTAAAGATGCAGTCAAGTCGTGAATGTGAGGGACTGGGTAACGATCTGGAATCGTTTTAGCGTTGAGCCTTCGGTAGTCACCACAAGGCCTCCAGTCCATGCCATTGTTCTTGGGTACCACATGCAAGGGTGAAGACCATGGACTGTTGGATGGTCTGATTATTCCCATTTCAAGCATGTGTTCGAACTCGGCTTTTACAGCACGCAGTTTCTCCGGGGATAATCGCCGTGGTTTCGCAAATACTGGAGGGCCAGTCGTCGTTATGTGATGAGAAACGTTCGAAGTCACACAAGGGACACAACGACTTGGCTTAAAGACATCCGGAAAGGACTGAATGATAGACGCGTAGGGACTAGAAGCGTCCGTCGTGCAGTACACGGGACTGAGGGGCGGCGTCTTTGTGACTATACCGGAAACAGAGAGTGTTGTGGTAGAATCTATCAACTTATGCTTGCCAGCATCTACCAGCAGCTGATAGTGCTGCAAGAGATCCATACCAATAATGCCGGTGGTCACATCTGCCACTATGAAAACCCAACGAAAGGGACGACGCAATCCAAGGTTGAGATCGAGGAATCTCCGACCATAGGTTGTGATGGGCGAACCGTTGGCGGCACGAAGTTGCAGAGACATTGGCCGCAGACGCTCTTCCTTCGTAGGTGGGATGACGCTAGCTTCTGCCCCAGTGTCAACTAGGAAGCGTATCCCAGAATGTCGATCAGTGACGAAGAAGAGGCGACATGGAAGTGGCTCGCCAGCGACGTTAGTCGCCGTCACGTGCTGGCTCACACGTTTCCCGCCTGGTTAGCCTCGAAGGTGCAAGGTCGAGTGCACTTTTGGCATTGGCACCATAACGTTTATGGTACCAGCACAACCTGGGTTGGATTGTCGCGATTTGGAACGTCTGCTACCGGTACGGGAGGCAGACCTGTTGCGCGAGCGAGACGTGCGACCTTTGTAAGAACTACCAGACCGCATTTCGTTCCTGATGCTGCACAACTCTCATACAATTTTGAGATGTGAGTTATAACATCGAAACTTGTTGGCTCAACAGCCGAGGGAGGATGTGTTTTGAACGAATCCGTGGCAGTAGACAGTGCAGCTGAGATACTAGTGTTGGGTTTCGTAGCATCCACAGCTCTGTCAGCCGCTTCCGCCAACTCTATTAAGGGACACTTATGGAAGGGTGCGAGGATCCCTTGAACCGACTGTGGTAACCTCTGTAACCACAGTTGCTTGAGAAATGCTTCATCAATGTTGAAGTCAGCAATCAGCTGCTTCATCTGACGAAGCAGTTGCGTCGGCTTGCGATCACCCAGATGCACATCCCTGAAAAGTTCTTGCACTTTCTGCTGGTCAGTAAGTGCAACACGTTTGATGAGGGCGGTTTTGAGGCGATCGTAAAGATTCGGTGCTGGGTCATCTAGCACATCTGAGACGTCTTCAATCACATTTTCCGGTAAGCTGACGATGACTAAGTTGGACTTAGTTTCTTGTGATTGAATGTGTCTCAAGGCAAACTGAGCTTCCACATGGGAGAACCATGCAGATGGTCTGTGGGCCCAGAAGGTGGGAAGCTGGAGGGTTATGGCCATCTGCGCAGTCGAGTCGTTATCCGCCATTGATCAGGGAATTAACGAGGCACGATAGTGATAATAAAAAAAATTACAATGCAAAAATAACCAATGAGGAGTGCAATAATATAAAAAAAACGCTAGACGTGCCAAAAACAAAATTAGGCCAGACAAATCAACGCAAGAGAACAAAGGTACTAGACAAAATAAGAAGTGATACTCGGGCTCACCAATTTTTGTAGGGATGCGTGTTACAATTCCGTAACGTTTGATCAACCCTACTTAATTTGATGTGCTCTAGTACCTGCTTAACCAGTACTTTACCTAACGTGTAAGTACTGGTAACAAAACACAAATCAAAAGAACTGATACGCAATGTATTTAAAGGAGCTATGTATTTAAGGTAAATGTAATAATAATGAATGAGGGAAAAGTTTAATCAACTTATCTGGCTTGTAAGGCTGAACTAGGGACTCGGAGTACGTGCGTGGTGATCAGCACAATGGAGCGCAAAAATGGCGTCCAAGCCTGCTCGGATGCATGCTCGTTAAAACAAAACTTAAAACACCCTAAGCATCCGGAGGCAAGCTAGAGATTTATTTAGTTAATTTAATTTAAACTATTTATTTTAGCCCTAGTTATATTTTGGTGCCAGGAAGGTGCACTACAACCTGAGGGGGAATTCCACATTTTTTAGTACCTCTTCTAATGAATGCTAACTGTCTTTTGGCACAGTTTTGTCATTCCTCCGCAAAATGTTTCTTGTCAGACATTGGAGACCGTTTTGCAGGTAATATGGACCTTACAATGTTCGGTTTCCAGCCTAATTTCTGCACAGAAGTTTCACAAAAGTCTCCTCCCCCTTAGTGGTTTCTTGGCGCGTTTATCGAACCACGGGTAGCGGTGCGGGGATTTCCGTGGAGTCGATGATGGAGTAATTAGTATCTTTGCCTCTTTGAGGAGTTCTAGACCCGTCTCGTGGGTTATCGATCCATGAACTCTTGTTGCTAGTTCAATCCTTGTTTTCTCCATTAATTCGTCGAGTCTTAAGTTTGGTGAGAACTCCTCTTCCTCCCATCCGTTCTTCGGGGGGCCAGTCACGTCGGATTTGGGTGTCTGAGTTTCGTTGTTTGAATGTATCACTCAGGAATACGTTCACCTCTTCTTCGCTGCTCACAATGAACTGCAAAATCCATCGCTGCCACGTTTCTCATCCTTTTTTCACCTAAACTGACCGATTTAGAGATGCACACTCCATCTGACTTCTCACCTAGGATATGTCCGATGGCCCACCCGACCAGTTTCAGGTCCTGCGTATGACGAACAGATGTGTTGCTGTCCTCTGACTCCTCAGTAGTCCTAGAGACCACACTAGACCTTGGCAGGATATCCTTGGATCGTGGGTTGATCGCCTCCGAAACTCTCTCAATGGGGTTTCATGACCCTAGTATCCTCGCTGATAACCTTTGGTGGCCTTTTCGAGTTATCTCCTCAGGAAATTCACGTTAGTTCGTTGGCCTCTTATGTAGCGTCAACGTTGCCAACGGAGACGCTTTTTTGGTTATTCCATGTACCCCATAGTCCGTTTCCTTTTGCGTCGATTGCAACGTCGGCAATGGTTAAGATTAATCAATTAGGTCGCCAGTATGCAACAGACCCTCTTTTGGTCTCGTGTCAGATTTGTTGGAAGCAACACTTCCGGCATAATCGCCCGATACTGTATTGGAACGAGAGCTGTCACTAACACATGAGTGTTTTTTGAACAAAAGCATTTAGACAGCTTCCTTGATTAAGGTCGACAAAGACTGACAGCAGAAGTCACATAACCAGGGAGAAGCTGATTTACTGCAACGCTTCTACACGTCAGTGTCCAGCCGACATACGTTGCATACCTTCACCAACTGGGAATTCACAGCCAGGTTGAACGCAACCATGATTAATCATCGGTAACCGTTTTATTCATGATTCAGTTAAAGTTCCCATTGGAACCATATTCAAACTGAAGTATTCAGTCATAATTAGGACAGAAAGATTTAGGTTTCGATGATACAATAGGAGCAATAACGCAGATAACCCTAGGCTTCGGAGAAATAAAAAAACCGAGGCAGTGACTAAATAATCCTGAGTTAATTTTTACAGGAAAGCCTTTAATGTGAATTACACAACAAAAGCCAAATTTTTCCAAAGCGTGGAAAACTTCACTTTTTTTTTCAAAATTAACAGAATGAGAACAACTTAGCGAAATGAACTACATCTTGAAAGCAGAAGGCAAAGGTAAAAATCACCAGGTATGTAGATTCTTATTCATGCTGATCACCATTTTAGTTTTGAAGGTCACAGAGTGTCCTTCTACCGCCAAGTCCGCCTGACAGGTCTGACCTTCGAAGCCACGATGTCTTCGAATTGTTGATGCACGTGGTTTTCTTCTTACATATGGTTAAGTGAATTTAATTTTTTCAAATGGTACCCAAAGACACAAGAAAGTTTGACGATGAAAAATCTGACAACAAAAAACATCGACCACGTCAGAGTGGCCGTAAAGCTGTGAAGAAAAGCTCTCAGGAATCAGCAAGGGCGAACAATCCGAAAGCATTTGCCGTTCAACATACAACTAAAGCGTCACGCCTAGTACAAAGGACTCTTGATCACCAGACGAAAAGACACCATCTATTACAGTCAAGATACGTTTCGCAAATCCCAGCGCCCTATGTAGTCGTAGTGGTTGGACCGCCAAAGTCTGGCAAAAGCACACTTCTTCGGGGCTTGATAAAGAATTTCGCACATTTGTCGCTCGGTGTTCTTAAGGGTCCAGTAACAGTAGTTGTTGGAAAAAAGGAAAGATTCACGTTCATTGAGTGTGGATGTGACATAAATAGCATGCTGGATGCAGCTAAGATTGCCGACGTGGTTTTGTTGCTGGTTAATGTTCGTGCAGGGCTCGAAATGTATCATTTTGAGTTCATCAACATGGTGCAGGCACATGGTATGCCAAGAGTCATCCCTGTTTTGAATCATCTGGATACATTCAAAGACTCTAGTTCCTCACGTTCACTCCGGAGGAAAATAAAACATCGCTTATGGACCGATCTAAACTCAAAAATTTTTCTTCTCTCACGTTTTCAGGCAAAAAAGTGTAAGTCTTGTGCACTGGCATACTTTCAGATTTCTTGACTAAACTCTTAATTAGTCTAATTTTTCATAGCTGCATAGTCTAGACTTATGAAAATCGATTTGATTATGCTGTAACGACTAGCTGTTGATACGTTTTCGTCTAGCCTGTAAGTAGGTATGCTGTTACAAAGGGGCGTCTAGAGCAGTGTGTTTGGTGGTGACCACGAAAATCAGGAAGGGAAAAGAGGGAGCGAAAAAAGTGAGCCAACGACTCAGCAAATACACGGGATTTCCTTAAGTCCAATAATCAAAGATGACTGACAAATGGTAGAGCTAAAAATCGAAGAGGTTAGACAGTCTAGAAATCGAATCTGGAAGGTGAAAGTAAGATTCTGAATGCCTTATTATTTTCCAGAATCGTCCCGTCATAGATGTACATTTTGGTCACTGAACAAAAATTATTAAATGATTCACAGTGCACTGAAAGTTTTCCTTTAGTGTACTTCCTTTAGTCGCTGTTATGAATTCGCAGCAAGCTTTCCTGACGGGTGGTTAGGCCAAAGAAAATTGGCGTTCGGAAGCTAAATGAAACACTCTAGAACCGTTTATCGTAGTGCTTCTATACCATTCGTAAAAGCTGAAGAACTCGTTCAGATACAACAATGCTACATCTAGGTGTTAGTGTCTGTTTACTTCGAGGGACTTAATCTCATTCTGAGTCCCGAAATTACTTAGTCACATTTCTTTTAGGTTGATTTGCTGTCATCTAGTTCCATAGAGTTGACATCATTACTCATTCTACGTCGACGCATGCATGAAGTGGCTGGAAAATATTGATAACTAAGGAACAGCTTACCATCTTCGAATGCCATGTCATTTCAGTTTAACTCCATTTGAGATCCAGAAACGTGGCAACCCATATTTTTCACCCAATGTTCGATGTTTTGGGTGCCGTCTATTGTAAAGTGTGGCAAGTTGAGTCGACGCACCTATGTGCAAGATTCTACATTGATCTCGTCACTCAGTCAGATCTAGAAACTAAACAATTCGTTTTCAGGACTGCGAGTTGTTAAAGTTGTACAACTAAGTGGCTCAAAACAAAGATACTGAACCCTACAGATGCGAACACAGTATCCGAAACATCAAACTCCGGATAAAAAAAGCGACTTACAACGTTTCTAGATCACTCTTTCCATTTACATCGTGATGTGAAGCAAATGAATATCAAACCACTTAAGAAGCTGTAAGGTGCCTAAGACACCTACCTTTGTGCATTATAATGCAAACTGACCGAACTATATGACTTTTAGGTGTCATTTACTTCTGAAAACTTAGGGGTCGGGTGTATTTCTGGAAAATTCTTCGCGGTAATTTACTTAGGTATTTTCTTTAGATAAATCCACTGATGTTTCCCAATTAGTGCACACTTATCCATGTATCTTAATTTCAGATGCCTCACACACGGCTGATGGACAAAATTCAGACAGCACTCCTGGTGATTATTTGCTAAATGAAGTCAGGCGTCTTGGACGTTTAATAATGGTTAAAACTCCTCGGCCCTCAGATTGGCGTAGCTCCCACCCTTATCTACTGATCGATCGTATAGAAGATGTTACAGACAACAAGATTTTGTCTGTTAACAAAGGTGCCGATCGTTGTGTCAGCCTATATGGGTGGGTACGTGGTGCCCCTTTACCACCTGCATTAACGTCCCCTGGAATACACATTGCAGGACTTGGTGATTTTGCATTAGCTGATTGCACTCAACAACCTGATCCCTGTCCTCTGCCTGGTAGGCCTAATCATTCTAATGACACGGGTAATGTTAAACCAACGAGACACTTATCTGAACGAGATAGAAAGGTAATATTTTATATTTTTTTCGTATGCGTGTATTGTTTTTACTTAGTGTTCTGTTGTAGTATGTCATGAGTATTATGGTTCGTAGTGTTTTTCTATGCTGAATAATCTGTTAATCTTATCTCGAAATGTGTTACTGCTCATATATTTTTAGCTTGTATTGAACCACCATCAGATTACCAGTATATATCATTTTACTTCACAAAGTAGATCGGTTTATTTGTGCTTTCCCAACCTTTTTTACTGTAGTAAATTATTTTGAACAGAATTATGGCTTGTTCAACGTGTCACATTGACACGAATTGAAGAAAAAGACTCCTAAACATACGTGCCCGCTCGTACTGTCCACTGCATTTAAGTGGTTATGGTTTTCCTTTCTTTGTATAAAAGTGTTGTTCTAATTCAAAGGTTTTTCACTTGGTTAGATTCTGCGCATCCGTGTTTCTCTGAAATTTAAACACTATTGATACTGTTAATCAAACACTTTACTACTTTCTATAATCGACCTGCCTTTCGAAAACACCTTACATTTCTCATCTTTCTACGTTTTGGGAATGCTAATTACACAATAGCACTTCAGTTTGCACTGAAGCGCTTGAGTTTATGGATATAGTAAATTTCTTGTAAAACTACAAAAGTCCCAGAACGAATGTTTAATATAATGCTATGATGGAGCTTAGAAAAATTGGTCAGACTGTGAGATATTAGTCGTCATACAAAACTCCAAACAGTACCTTTTCATAAGCTAAAATAATATACAACTTTGAACATTCATAAGTGAATATGAACTTGCATAGCATTTTCACATTTGATTATTTTAAGCAACCATTTTGCGTACGGCATCTTAATGTCTCATGTGGTTTAACTCAGGGATTAATAAGTTTTGTGTTGTGAGAGCAATAGGTGGTGAATTTGAATCGAAACATCGTCCAACTGTTGGTATTATTCGGTTCTGTTGAGTTTATTAGGAATCTGTTGCTAGATGTAGGATAACTGTTGAACCCAAGATCTTATAAATATTATAAATTAAATTTCCCCATGGATAGATAAATTTACGAAGACGGTTGACACTTCTCAGATGCCCACATCGCTGAAGGATAGTTAGTATACCCTCCTCAGCTGTGATCAAAAGCATTCAGTAAATCCAGGGCACAATCAGGTGTAAATCTCGTATAGCATTATCTTTCTAGCCCAGGCAAAAATCTCGACTAACACCTACTTTTACGTAATGGTCTGACATCCATATCACAGTGACCGAACGAGATATGTTATGTTGGCAGAAAGTTTGTTTTCTTGAGGTTCTACTATGTCAGAAAGGTCAGTTGAATAGTAGTAGGGCAAAAGGCAGCTACCGTTATGGTATGGGTTGTTGCCCTATGATGGGAGTCCGATGACGAAGTCATACTTCTGGTTCGATGAGGGTGTGACAACAGTGAGGTGTTTCCCACAGATGACCAGCAGTGAGATACTGATGCTGCCTTACTAATGGTAAGAGGGGAGGGGATTAGAAAAGATTGATCCTGATCAGGCGGCGTACCGCTGTCAGCGATATGAGTTCATAGTCAGAGTCGAAACCGACAAACTCAAATCTCAAACTTCAAAGATGGTCGTCAGTAGTAGACCTCAGGCAGATGTCCCTTGGGCTCTGCAGTCGCACATTAATTTTTCTTTTTCCAGCGATTCAATAAGAACAATCCTTCCGTTGATTTCACTGTTTTTCAATAGAAAGGTCTGGTTGACACCGTACTGCAGAAGTAGATTTTCTTTGAAATATTTATCCTTATAGTGAACACCATGCATACTAATCACACGCAATCCGTTGTCTCTTACAATTACCATAAAAATTGAGCTTTCATGGTGAACAACTTTAGATGAAAAAACGACATTACCGAAAAGTTTTGAAATGGTGTTTCAATGTCATTTTTTGATTTTCATTAAAGCCGAAATCGCTCTATCTCTTATACGCAAAATGGTCATTTCTGGTAGATAGCATTTCATACACTGTTTTGTGTATGACTTCATCTAATAAGTTAGACAACAAACTCATCATTGAAGCATGCCATGTTGGCGTTGGAAGCTTATGGAAAATTGGTTTTTGTTGCTGTTGCAACTACTGACACAAGTTAAAACATCTAAGTAGTCAGAAATTTGGTTTTGCATCTTGTAAATATATCAGTTAATGTGGCTAACTAGTTTAGTCATTCACCTTTCTGTCAGTGGGTCACTTCTCGAAACCTACCTCATCTACTGATATTTGGAAAAAGTAGATACCATCCACAGGCTTTAATCCAGTATGGGTAGCTCGTAGTCTATCGACGTACCTGCAGACGGTAGCTAAGTTGCCTGTGTTCTATCAGCACCTGTGTAATGGGATATTAGTATTCTGTCAGTCTTATTCATTAAACCTCGTAATTGCATTCTCAAACTAAAATTCTTTGCCCGATTTCCTCTTCAGATATATGCCCCAATGTCTAGTCTTGGTGGTGTTTTATTTGACCGTGATGCAACCTACATCGATCTTGGAGGGAGTCACTACCTGACTAATCGTAAATCTCGACATGGGAATAATAACTCAACAAGTGTCAGTCAGTCCATGTTAGATGAATTACGTGCAACGTTTGATGAAATCGGTGGTCTGGATGAACAATTGGGCAAAACCCACAAGGTTCGTATGGTTACTAATGCACCATTACTGTCTGCAGACGCTGATAATGATAGTGTATTGGAAAAGCATAATTCAACACATTCCAGTTTTTCAAATGATATAACAGTAAAAGATAACGATGATGAAGAAAAGGGTACTGATGGAATACGTGTATTCTCTGAAGAGCCTATTGCGGGGTTTCTTGTACCGGCTGGTTTTCAGGAGAAGGAATTTCATAGGAACAAACAAGATCCAACAGTATTAAAGAGTGCTCATATGAAAGTTAAACAAGTGCTAGACGGTAAGATTTCATTATATCGGTATTTTCAGATTGTTATGCCAGCTTTATCTTGTGGGTAGTGAGTCTCAACTTTTCACGCCATACCTAGCGTTGCTAACCCCTTCATTCATGCCGAAATATATCGAACGAGATTCAGTATTTTTATTCACAACCAATGAATCCTTGCTTCAATGCTTTGTTTGCAGTCCATGCAGCACCATACCAGAATGTGACAATAAATCTCTAAGTTGCTTTGGGTTTATTTTCTTAAAGACTTATTATAAATAACCAATGGAAGTCAAAAATCACCAACCCAACAGCTCAATAACAGTCTTCCAGACATGAGAACTGAGAGGTATTCAGGACGCGCGTTACGGCACATATTCCGTCTAACGGCAACAGTGTAGGTTCAGGTTGTTTGTGTTCAGTGGTTGTTCAACCTCGGTCTCTTATAACTTAGTGTAACAGTTTACACTACCCACGAGTAGTTCGTAATAATCAATTCTAATTTATAACTGTATTATCTATCATAAACTCTACTCACATGAGTTGTTTTCAGTTCATGATTATTATAATGATAAAGTGTGAGAACCATTATCCTCTTTTTCAGACATTGAATGGAAATCAACAACGTCTTCTCTAGTTAACTGGAATCGTTTGGTCTATGGAATAAATAATGGTAAGTTAGGATTGCATTAACTAGGTTAATAATTCTGAAAAAAACGTGGTCATAACTCTCCTGGCAATTTTACTGCTCTCTGGACTTGAATTTACCTGTCCATATATTCGAGCCCCAAATATTGATCATTAAATGATATTTATGATTACAGTTTTATTTGAAAGCCAAAACTTGATACGGTATGGACAACAAGAGATAAGTTTTAAGAAATAATTCAACAGTTATGAAAGAAATTGACACAGAGAAAGTGAGGTATGGAGGTATATTACTACTTTTAAAAAAAGATAAGACTCGGTTAATGCACTAAGCGTTTCTATGGATAAAAATTATTTGTTTCTCAATCTTCACAAACAGAATTAAACAATGCAGTATTCAGGATTCAGGGGGATATACTATCTGGATATGATTTTACCACTGTTGCTAACAGTCGAATGCTTAAACTACTGGGATTCATTTCCACACCTCACATAAAAGGGTTCTAGTTCACTGGCTATGACGCTAAGTTTTCAATCAGTGACTCCAAAGTTCGAACTTTTCTTCACTCATCAAGGTTTAAATAATCAGATGGTATCTATAGGTGTGGTTCATAACCTAATAAACAAATATGCATATGATTACTTGGTTAAAACATTATTTACCACACCCAAGTTATTTTTTGAAGTTATGGGTGATCAAATACTTGCTCATTGGTGTAAAGACTGGAATTTCAATTAATGGGTCTCGAGTTGGAGCTTCGCTCCGCATAATCCTGTCTGGGTAACCGAATAGTACCGCAGGTTCTCGCATGATAAGTATGATTCATAAGCATATACGGGGTCCAATTTGTTAGACGTTGTTGCCCTGTAGAATTCTTTTTTTGAAGAGCAGCTTCCATAAGAAGGTTGTTGACAAATTAAAGGTCCTGTGCAAACGCACCTGAGATAGAATGAGGACTTAGTACCATTCTCCTCCATTGTTCCAAACAATCATGTTTAGATAGGGCTGCCTGACTTCGCTTTTCTTCTTTAACTGTCACCCACGATATTCTATAGACACTTCTGAAGAACGTGCTTGGTATCAGTGTAGATCTATAACCAAGTAAGCTCTTTTGATGCCGTTTATGCGGATGATATCGTATTACTGTTCGACAACATACGGGCTACTCAAATCGGGATTAGTATCCGTATGTCTGGTATGTGGTGTGTGCCGAGAGAATGCGAAGTGCTTTTAGAAGCTTCACATGAGCCTGCACTCACTTGTTGATGAGTTTCTGGAATTAGTCAGGAGGTTCTTGTATATGCGTGGTCGTAAGGTGGTATTAATACGATTTCTGTGTCGGGAGCTTGAGTGACACGTGCCAACTTGAGTAACCTTTGGTGCCATCGTGAAGTTGGCATGACTTTGAACAGTTGAGTATACAATGCCTCAATACGAACAGCTCTGCTGTACGCTTATGAAACCTGGTCACTCAAAGATAAGAATATCAGACGATTGCACGTTTTTGATCACCGTCGTCTACGTATGACTTGCTGGCTTCCGGTGGAAACGGGTAATTAGTTTTGATGTTTATGGAGTCTGTTTGAGAGTGATGGAAGCAGTCATTTATTTACTGAAATATTGAAATCGGTCCCGCTATTATGTGCTACACATCTCCCAGTGTCTCCCACGCCATTCACTGTTCATTAGCTCTGAGACTGGTTTAAAAAAGGGGTCTTTAGTGTTTGATATATCGCTGTGAGATGAAGTCTTTTATGTTAGCATACGTTAGTACCTTACGATTCTTTGGATGGGGTCGAAGAAATCATGCAAGTCACTGGTTTTAGGCTATGTCAAATATAGCTTAGAATAGAAACCAATGTGAATGATGCTTCAGCCTTCTTGTCTCTTCTGTTCTCAAAAAGTATTAGGAAAGTAGTGAAAGCTTCTTTGAATTTATCCTTGGAACTGTTTTGATAACCCATCCCTACTTTTTTCTGTTACATTTTTTCCTCTTATCTTTTTTTAAAAATAATATAACGTGGTATTATACTGTTTTATTCAAGGCATTTCTTGGTACCCATGCTGGGCCAAGTTTTTTGCTTACCTAAAAAACGGAAACGACTTGCGAAAAATATCTTATCCAGATACCCACACCCTACAAGGCCCGTGTTTCTCAGTAGCATAGAAGCAATGCGTGCACTTCTGCACAACATATTTAACGTCTTATTTTCCTCCAGATATATCATTATTACAACAAGCGATACGATTTAATGAAAACAAACATCTTATACGTACCAAGTTTTCACCCACATGGGTTAGTACAACTCGACAAGTGAGTTTTTCAATGTACTCAACCATTTTGCTTAAATTATGTATCAGTAGAGAGCAGCTGTTAAGTCATATTTTGGATTTAAAAAAGTTGGGGATCGATACGAAACACTGGTGCTCATCTAAAAGAACAATATTGTTTGGTGTCTTCTAGTTTCACTAACCGTTATTTTTCGAATTCTTTCTCCTTCTGTATACTTTCGTTCACTTTGACATCGTAGGATGATCAATTTACAGATGGTTTACAAATTACACGGTCCACATTGACATTTCTCACAGCCGAGTGGTTTTCCAACTGCTCAGCTATGGTGTTAATAAGGTTTTCGTTGGAAACCACTCAACCAAGATCACAAGGTGTGATCTCTGACTCAAATATGTCATGAACTAGCGAGATATACCACTACTTTTGATCTTGGCTAGGTGATTTCCAACGGGAACACTATTGACACCACAGCTGCGTAGTTGAGAAACTACTCAAGCTGTGAAAAATGTCGAGATGGACCGTGCATTTTGTAAATCATTTGCAAATTGGTCATCCTATTTTCGGTATTCCGGTCCATACAAGTCAGCTAGCCAGATTCAGGTGATCTGAAGTAATTTGTCCCTATGAGCTGTGTTTGTCGGGGTGATGAGGTGTGCCTTAAACCAGCGAAGCGATCATTCGGTGTTTAGATCACTCTGATCTAGTTGGCGAAATTTGCAGATCAACCTGAGTGATTCCTAACTACTCAAGTTGCTCAGTAGTAGTATAGTTTGATATCACTGTTTCTATTCATTTGTTTTTTGGATATTGCTATGACGAGTGGTAAATCAAACCGATTCATTTCTGTGCGAAGTTGTACGTTGATTTTCTCTGTCTGTCTGTCCCTCTATATCACAGTGTTTACACAGTGTATGCTTAATAAGGAATCACCACCAAGGCGGTTATTTCTTTTAGATGTCAACACATGTAAAACAAATTTTCACGTAAATGTCAATTTTTTTCATAAGATTTTTATTTTCAAAACTAAAAAACATTCTGACTTTCTACCTTTAGATGCGAATGAAGGCTTTCCTAAAAATTCTGCAGATTCAGTTGTTGGGGATCATGACTTTACTCTTTGTTCAATCCATAAATCAACTATGTCACCGTGGAAGATGCATCATCTCATGATCTGATTCGTAATCGTTTCACGACTGGCCAATGGGGTGAAAATGAAGATGCTTGCAAGCTATTGGAAAAAGATTTGAAAGCACGTAAAGAGATAGAATTAGATGAGGCTAGGAAACATGCTATTGCATCTGGAAGCCGTGTACATTATGCTTCTGATTTAGAGGATTCTCAGAGTATCGAGATTGATGATGATAATGATGATGTGGATATGGATAGAAGCGATTCTGATTCAGACCAAGGTGATCAAAATATTTTCCGTGATTCAAATTCTGAGTGTGAAGACGATCCCAGTGGTGACGTGAAGAATATGCCTCAAGAAGCAAAGAATTTAGAAAGTGAATATGATAAAGTGAGTTCATCTTCGGGATAGGTTAGATAATCTCTTATAGTGTGAAGTTTCACTTGAAACTGAATCAGTTATATGAATGAATTATTTTTATTTTTCGGACCCTTCTGAAAACCTATACTCCTAGTACAGTTCAGGGTAACAGTCAGTAGCGTTATGGATTTGTGCTAAGGCTTCGTTCAACTACCAGCTAACTTTCCCTCCTACTTTTCTATATTATAGGTAGATAAACACTTGGTGCTACCTTAATGACGTGGCTCAGGTTGCACATCACAATTCCCAAATGAATTATGCTGGTGGGAACAGAAATGTCTGTTAGATACTTGTTAGGCTAAATGTAAATAGCTTGCACTGTGGTAATAACCCCTTAACTGTACTTCGTGTGAGAACAGTACTGTGTTTCTAGAGGGTAAACAGAATTCTACTTTCTCCCATTTTTAGAAGGAAAGTTTATGAAAGTTTTCTGCCGGAAACAGCTCACTCCTTTCCACCACTTCATGCCGGGAGTGTAGGTTTTTACTAAGTATGAACATTATACAGTTGGATCTAAATCAGAAATCTCCAAAAAGGTAGTGTGTGAATGACTTTTAGCTCTGCTTTCAAGCATGCACGCTAATAAGATCATTCGTACTGATCTAATTTCTCTTCCACTTTCTGGAGATAGGCTGATGGACAAATCAATCTAGAACTCAGCACAGAAGTACACCAGTTCAAGTTGCCACAACAGTGAGCAAAGAACAAATAGATGAAGAAAAAAGTAAATAAGCAGCTGAGTTGAGGGAAAAAAATGTATCAAACTTTCGATTTCGTTGAAGAGAGAATCGATCTCTACCATTGTGACTAATTTCCTGCTATGTCATCAAGAGTCTCGAACAATTGAATCCTTTTATTTTGAGAACACCAGATAGACCGTCTACATATCCGTACATGACTCAGACCAACAGTCATCAACGGGCACCATATCCTGGTCTGGCCACTCGCAGCCTTTTTTCAACTCAGTCCTACTTCGGCTAACATTGTTCGTCGAGACAGATGGTGTACTGGCATGCAAAGCACATGTGTATGAGGGTCACCTCATTCAGTGAAGGTTCTCAACCTCATCGACTGGCTTTCATTCCTTGGCTAGTACTCTACATGTGAACTCGCCATTGCTCACACGATGGTTCCACCACACACAATCAATGATACGAAGACAACTGTGATCCAAAGCTGTAATCGTTTCGTATCGTGGGCTTCTAAATATTCTGGAATGAGCCGGGCATATACACCTGATAGTGGCTAACAACTTCACTTCCATAAAATACGGCTTATTTACTCGATCTGTCACACGCAAAATAATTTATGGGAGACACTAATAGTAATATATGTGTTTGCTGCATACTTTCGTGAACCAGGCGTCAGGTTTTATCGTTTTGTGAGCTCAGTACTATTGAAAAGGGTCGTGCTAGCTGAAGAATAATACATAGTATTTGCTTATTTTTTTTTGTGTTTTTATATGCTACACCGGGACTCCACAAGTAAAATGCGCCTGATACTATGAATGTAAATGTTGATAAGGATTTTTCTATGACTTGAATTGTCGAACCAGTATTTTTTTGTATAATCGTAACTCGTTCATGTTCAGCAAGCGACTGTGTTTAGTAGACTTTGATTGTCTTGTTTCAAGAGAAAGCATTACCTTCACGAAGTATCGGTGTGTTTTGAAAGTACTGAAAAATGCTGGAGCTCATTATTTATAGTTATAGGTTTTATTTCTGATTCTGGAAAGGTTTTTCCTTTAAGCCACGTATTCTGTGACAAAGAAAGCTTTTGAGCTATGTAGCTGGCTGGCGAAATTTCAAAACTTTTCTTGTTAAATCTTATAAAAAAGAGTTTTTGTATGTAGGTACAACCTAGCACTGTTTTCCCCATCGCAAACATGATTTAGATATGCGACTCTTTGCCTTAAGCATTTGACCCTCGAGCAGTAGGTCTAGAGATTGAATCCTGTTCGATCTACTTGACCTGAACATCTGCGCAGCATCATAAGCTCTGTCTCATTACATGTGCCTCTTCTACACATGCTTATACCGGGCCAGGTCCAGTTGCAGAAAAAAACGGAATAGCATAAACGCCTGCTTTGATTGGAATCCTTTTCAGTCATTCCAAGACGATTAATCGATATGTTGTTTTTAATCGCTCTGATCCTCTGAAATGTATCTATCAAGTCGCATTGTGGAACAAATGCTACTGAGTAGCATGAAAAATGATCGACAACTTAGGTCTGTCAAGAGAATGAACCGAAGAGAATACCGTTTTGACAGTCAAGCACTTTTCGAAAATTAAAAAAAGATTGTGCGAGATACCATTTGTTTCGTTACCTCGTAGAGATGATTGTCAAACATAATTCGAATAGTAAGCGTGACCTGGTTTACGAAATTATTTTTTAAGCTGTCTCCGGTAAATACAATTCGTCTTTCGTTTCTCCTAAGAATTCATTCCAGTTGAATTATCGTACATTTTCCCTTGGCGTTAGAAAATACTGCGTATTTGTTTCATATCACTAATAACATGTACTGAATAGAGCTGGTCATAAGTCATTAACTAATTTGTTTATTAGACTCAAACGTACATCTGTTGTGTGAAGTCGATTAAGGCGACCTAAATATTGACTACTGAAGCAGATGTGAAACCTTTGAATGTATTTAAAGTTATACCGATAGTATCACCTGTATTCCACTAATAAAGAGAGTTTTATTGAAATATTTGTAGAATTTACTGCGACCAACTAAACGTCAGAAATTACTGGAGAAAAGGGAACGTCATAAAGCGTTGTTCAATCAGTTGTATGAAGCAGCTGGTGGTGGCCCAGAAGCTACTGCATTCTATGATAAACTTGTAGCTGCTCGTGAAGCTCAACAAGCCTTGAATCAAGAGGTCTTGAAGGGCTTGCCTGAAGAAGTCGCCAGTCGTTTGGAAGGATTTCCACCTGGAGCTTACGTTCGTATTGAAATCAGAGGTTAGTTTCATGGCCAGTTTTTTCACTTGTATTTGAGTTTTTTAAATCTAGTAACAGTGCGAACAGTAACGAAGTGTCTGAGCTTCGGTGAATTTAATCTGCTGTCTATCACTATCATAGTTTTGATGTGAGTTTTTCTGTTACATCCTTTCCTAGCTGCTGTTGTTAATCGGTTTATCATAATCTTACTGTTGCCGCAATATGACTGTTTGACAAGTGACGTAGTGGTTGCAGTGGAATTGAAATGTTAGTCCATAGTTAATTTAAGTCAAGCACTAGGTTTGTGATTCAAAAGTTTCTGGTTCTAGTCATTTTCACTTTACAAATCTGATATGCATATTCTCTTCTCTTATTCATACCTAACTGCTTTATCAGTCTACGTATGCATATCAAGAGACACTTCACTGGCCTGCAAATGTTTAGTCACACAAAACTATGATTAACTTTCGTTGAAGAATATTTTAAAGCGTGTATGGGTTATTCTCCTGGAAAATTATTCAATACAGCACCCTTCTTCCTCATTGTGTTTCAATCTGCTTGATGGCAGTGGAATCCAGGATGTGCGTCTCATCCTATTTAGGACTCGCCAGCTGGATGTACCTAAACCCGAATAGGTGATATTGTTCTCACTGGGACTTGGACCCGGTACGCATCGTTCCAAACGCCAAAGCATTATTCAGAAAGCCACTGGCGGACGGGAGCCACATAATATAAGATATTCGGACAGTGTCGAGACACCCACAGAGGTTGAGCAATCCTACTGAGTATAGCAACAGGAGACTACAATTTTCAAACAATCTCTACTTCTTCATTGATTAATTCTCAACTAAATGTTTAACTTTGTGTACTGGATACGTTTTTGCACACTTGATCGCGGATGAATGATTAATGTCTTCCGACCGGTAGCAAGTCAATGACAAATCCAAGAAAACAGATAATTCTAGATGTCAGTGATACAATCTGGTTGTATATAAATGTGAACACTTAGACAATAGCTTTCAGATTCCACCCCCTTATCCTCTCCTAGTTCCTTGGAAAATAAGAAAAATGGTAGGATGACAGAAGGCATTAGTATGCAAAACGATGAATTAATTATACCCTTCGATGTCACAGCATTATATACATCAATCGAACCACAGTTGACCAAGGAAACTATGTCTCTTCTACCCTCTGAAGATAGATGCCTTTTAGAACGCACAAACCTTAGATGTTCAAGTCAAATGAAACTCGTGGGTCTTTGTCTAACAGCATACTTCCAATTTAACGGCACGACATGCAAAGAGATAAAAGGAACCCCAATGAGACCATCAATATCCGGTCTGATTGCAGAAGCGGTGATGCAGACTAGTAGCCATCATTCTACCTGTGATTAAACCAAAAATTTAGATTCGCTATGTGGACGTTATTATTGTCATCATTAAAAAAGATGATATAGAAAACACAGTTTGATCAATAACGTTTTCAATGACATGAAGTTCACAATGGAGAAGGAGTCGAACAACCGATTGCCATTCCTGTAAGACAAATGCCGGAAAGCTGGAAACTCAAGTGTACAGGAAGCCAACACACACTGATCAAATCCTCAACTACAGCAGCAACAACCCAAAAACTCACAAAATTGGTTGCGTGCAGACTCGCTTCAAAAAAGGGATAACCCAACGCAGTACAGCAGTTGCAGGGAGGAACGAAGAAAACTACTTGATGTCTATCCTAAAGATGAACTGCTACCCACGAAACTTTATCAGATGCCTATCCCGTACATCATCAACTCCAAAGTCATCGACAAATCAACAAACGAATCGTCGTACCGTACATAACGAATATATCAGAGATCACGATAAAATTTCTGAGATTACTGAGAATTGGTGCGGCCCACAAACTAACAAATTCCCTGCAAACCATGTTATTCAGACCAAAAACGCAACAACCAACAAACTAAATGTCATTTACAAGGTCAACTACAATAATTATGATCAACACTACATTGGACAAAGTGGTCACCCTTTTCGCCTTCGTTTACATGAACGTCAGTTGGCTTTTAAACTTCACGACATTTCATCGCTCGTTTCAATACACATGGATGCCTATAGAAATGAATTCAATTTTGACAATGTAGACATCTTGGATAGACGAAACACAAAGAATATAAGAGAATTCCTAGGGACTTGGTATTCAGGTCAGTAGGCAACCAAAAGATGCTTTGACATAAACCCCAATCTGTCAACCAATCCCCACAAATTGAATAAGAAAAATTTTAAATAACAGAAAGGTGACTTTTGAGAAACAGCCAACAAGAAAATCTATGCTGTCAATGGCACAACAATCGAAAGAAACAACCAATCACAAACCAGTTCGTCAGGGCAAGCTACTGAATCACTCATAGAAAGACAATGACAGCTCTCTTCATATTAAAGATAGTGCATTCAACGCAAGTCAACCACCTCAGTGGTTTTGAAAAGATAGTTTGAATATGTACAGTGGTATCTGTACTTGCTGGTTATGGTTAATCTTCTCTGAGATTAAGGAAATTAATGGTATAGTGTGTGGCTCAAAAGCAATTACAATGGTACATTTTTAAACACTCCGTATTATCTTCGAAGTTTTGAACGGTTTGCTAACCATTTATATGTGTCCTCTTTTCTCTCATGCACACTTGTCTACTTTTGTTCATCCTTTTGCTTTTCACTTCCTCTTTGCATTCTGCTGTTAAGTGTGGCAACATGGACTGATGTACGTCTTTGTAACGTTCTGCGTTTCTCAATAACCAATGAATGAGATCTAACGCTATTTTTTTCTACTAAATATTCAACTTCTAGTGAATTCTCAGTATTAACGAAACTGGTGATTAGAACCTGGTTGCCTTCTAGGTTATCTTTGCTTTTCAACCATTACTCAGCTTGTATATCAAAGATTTTTCCACCTTATGATCGTGATGCAGTCATATACTAATAACTAAAGTGATTTACTAGCAAATCGATGTTGTTGGCAAATAAAACAGATTTGCTTGTACTTTGGACCCCTAACGGACACTAGTCCCATTGCTTTTAGTTGAATATGTTAGTATCAAATTCAAAAAATTGAAATGTACTCAGCGATCTTGTGCACGTTCTTGCGGTAGGTAATATGCCATACTTAATGTGTGAGGGTTAATGATGGTGCCCACTGGCTGCCTAAACCAATTAGCCACCACCATGGCAGCTTAGTGTCATGAAACTCAGATGCACTAGGAAAATAAGAGTTCAGAGGTTAATGTGATTCCATTGGTGTGATTCACAGAATGAAATCAAAAGAATGGAATTGGTAGAGTTTGTAGTACTTCGAATTGTAAAAGCTCTGTGTACATAGAGACTCACATTGACCTTGAAAAATAAGGAATAACTGACCTGTAAGAGTGGTCGGAACCATTTAGAACATTAGCAAGTTATGTAAAATAAAAACCGAAGTGAGAGGGAAAGAGAACGAAAGGAAATGGATGGAAGTAGAATAAATATACAGTAAGTAAAAGCATAATAAGGGATTTCGAAACCCCTAACAACAGCGACTCCAAACCTATACCTAATGTCAACCCTTTACTCAGTGCCCAATATTTGTCATACTATACGATCAAATCTTGATCATAGCTTATGTAAACAGTGGATAGTTTGATGAAGTGACTATTCTGCTGTTCGAAAACCTAACTTGCTGATTGTCGGCAATATTAATGATTTGATGTACTTTGATTTCTCCCATATAGTTGATAATATCCCGTCTAATTTCAGGTGTTCCATATCAATTTATAACTCGATTTGATCCTTCTCAACCATTGGTTGCTGGTGGTTTGTCCAGTGCTGAAGAGGCGTTCGGTCATTTACAAATTCGTTTTCGTACACATCGCTGGCTTAAACGTGTTCTCCGCTCTAATGACCCATTGACAGTCTCTGTTGGCTGGAGGCGGTATCAGACTGTCAGTGTATTTTCACAGGAGGAGCATAACTTACGTAAACGGTTTCTAAAGTATTCGTTACCTCATGAACATTGTTTGGCTACTATTTATGGACCATTGGTACCACCAAAGACTGGGGTTATTGCTTTCGTCAATTCTGCATGGCAGTCAGTGGATGATCCAAAAAATCCTCATCTCCCTGCTTTTCGTGTCGCTGGCACTGGAACTGTTATTGATTCTAATAAATCATTTCAGATAATGAAAAAATTGAAGTTGATTGGTGAACCGTTCAAGATATTCTCAAAGACAGCTTTTATTCGTGGCATGTTTAATAGTGAATTGGAAGTGAGTAAAATGATCGGTTGTCGTATACAGACTGCATCGAAAATACGAGGTAAATTGACTCAGTATACATATAATCCAATTAGCTTGTTATGCTTGCTACACGTTGGTTACAGTGCTTCATTGCACCACTTACCCTTGCATTAATTGTATTAGATTTTAGATGGACTCACTGGCTACTGAGGTGAACCTGAAAATAGATTTTGACGGTGTGTAGAGTATTTACTAGCTGCGATACCGACAAGACTTATCAACCCCCACTATACGACAAGTATATGTTAAATAGTTTACTCTGTTATATTTTGTGAGTCAATCTACAATCTAGATTTCGTGTTTGTTACACTAGTCGGTGAAGTGTATCTGCAACCGTGAGAAAACGGATGTCTCCTTGTTGATTCAGACCTCTGTCACTCGATGCTAAAGTTAGAGACCACTAAGCGATTTAGGTCATGACTAACCTTAACACTCAGTTACACAGGTCTGAGTAATCGAGGTACAACAGTTCCCACATAGTTGGAGATATGCACCACAATGTCCCATCACTCAACGTAGTAGCTACACTGTAATCTTGATCCACAGACTTTAATCAATGCTGAACACTTAGAACTAGATAGCTAAATCGGTTGCCAGCTAGTAACCTCTTTGTCCACAGTTTACTGTTATTCTATATGGTTGTAAGTGGTAATTGTCGAGGTTAAATATGAAAAAGCTAAAGATATTAATGCTGCTATAATGTAGTCATCAAGCGGATGTTATCCGGTTTCAATAAGTATAGAAATGAATGTGACTGGGATAATTAGTGCCTATACCACCTATCATCTATCTCTGCTCGTGGTTTTGGTTGAAACGGGTTTATTAAGTAGCATCTATAATTAGAGACTTACAACGACTGGTCACACACATTTGCACAGCGTACTTAGATGATGTGAGGTGAAATAGAATAGAGACAGTATGAAATGATAGATGTTTGGTATAGATAACAGTTCTCTCGATTATATCGATAAAGTTATTGTGTCACTGTAGAACATACTGAATCTCGTTGCTGAGCATCTGTGGTCAACAACTATTGCTTTTTGATTATTTTATACCCAATGTGATTACTCATGTACATACGGCTTAGTCTGGTGTCTGTGATGTCTTTTGCAACCTACCATTTTGATTGACGTTACTGCCGTTTTTATGCGTAAAATTTACTTTGCCTTATCCCTGGTTAACTAGTTCACTAGTTACTAGCCAGTCCTAAGCCCGGGTAAAGAGGGAAGGTTGGGCGTAGGGCTAGCAATCCTATCCCGTAAAACAAATCCAACCGCTAAAGAAACTTCAAAGCACAAACGAAATATAAAAAATAAAAACAAACTTATTCCTCGCTGGAATCAGAGAGGTGAAATGACGCTGGTTGGTTAACGCCTTCGGGAAATCGATTGGCCAATGTGTCTTCTCTCTCTCTCTCTCGATCAAAGCGAAAGTAAACGTGGTGACATGGAATATCCGCACCATGTTTGAACCTAGCAAGGCAGCCCAGATTGCAAACGAGATGAGGAGGTATCACACTGAAGTGCTTGGAATTTGCGAAAGCAGATGGAATGGGAGTGGACTCTCCAAACTGTCAACTGGAGAATCAATAATCTACTCCTATATTGTCACTCAGACGACAACCACCAGCACACTGAGTTTTGGAGTGACTATCATGATAACCCCAAGAGCATCGAAGGATCTCTCTTATGTAGTGGGAACCAATCTCCTCCAGGATCAGGAACATAATAGCAAGGTTCAACTCAAAAAGACGGAAAGTCACAATCGTACAATGCTCCGCACCTACAAATAGTGCAAATGAAGAGAAGAAGAAGGAATTCTACAGACAACTGCAATCAACACTGGACAAGACTCCAGTTGGTGATATCAAAATTCTAATAGGCGATATGATTGCCAAACTGGGCGCAGACAACACAGGAAGAGAACTAACCATGGGTCGAGAGGTACTCGGTGAAATGAATGAGAATGGAGAATTGTTTGCGGAATTCTGTGCATCCAACGATTTGGTGATTGGAGGCACTCTGTACAAACACAAGGATATTCACAAGGCAGCGACATGGATTTGATTTCACCGGACACCAGGACAAACTACGCTACAAATCAGATCGACTTCATGTCAATGTGAAGAAAGTGGATACGCAGCCTACTGGACACAAGATCAGATCAGATCAAGAAGGGGAGCAGATTTAGATGGTGCGCACCACTCACTATCTAGTGCAAACAACCTTCCAAATCAAGTTAAAGCCTTCACAGAAGTTGGTGATAGACCACAGTTGAAGTTGAAAACCCAGAACAGAAACCGAACTGAAGGACGAAACTATAAAAAACATCTTCATATCAGTCAGCCATCAGGACAAAATGGGAGATATCAAGCAATATCCCTGAAGGATCTGGTGTGGAAGAACACTGGAACTCTTTGAAAGAGATGTGGAAAGAAACCTGCATAACCGTGTTAGGAAGGAAGAGGAATCAAGACAAGGAATGGATCTCGACGGCCACATGGAAGCTGATATAGCAGGTAGAGGAGGATGGTGAAGCAGAAGATGAACCAGTGAAGTGCAAGGATGAACAACGAAAAGACGAACTGAGTACAACGTATAAAACATTGGACAAAGAAGTGAAGACGAGTGCAGGCAAGGACAGAAGACACTTCTTCGACACATTGACAAGTGGAGTAGAACGGACTCCACGTAGGAGAGACAGAGACCTGACAACATAATATCAAATAACCAGGTTACTATGTGTGAGGGAAGAGATCAACTCAGACGAAACCAGTGAAAGATGATGAAGGAAAGCTAGTTAGCAAAGAGGAGAAACAAAGGAAACGATGTGCTGGCCATTTCGGAAAAGTCTTTAATCGACCATCACCACCACCTGCAACTCGTCCAGAAATACCACCAGCAACCCAGCCAGAGAACTACTAGTGAACACAGGCCCTCTGACAAAAGCAGAAGTGAAGTCCTGAATGCCATAAATCTGCGGGACTGGATGGAATTCCATCAGAAGCACTGAAACAGACGCAGAGACAACAGCGGACATGCTCATACCACTACTGCAGAAGATTTGGAAGGAAGGAAGGAAGGAAGTGAAGGTATCTGCCCATTGATTTGGAGAAGGGCTCCCTTGTGAAGCTCCTAAAAAGGGAGACCTAAATCTTTGCAGGAACTGGTGCGGAATCATGTCCCACTGCTGCCCACCCCAAGCAAATATTATGCCGCATCATTCTGGAGAGACTGAAAAATGCTCTCAACTCAAAATTACGACCATAACGGGCTGGCTGTCTGGCTTCAGGAAGAACAAACCATGTGAAGATCAAATTGCAGCCATACGCTACGCATCATCATAGAACAGAGTATAGAATGGTAGTCAACTCTCTAACTCAACTTCATCGACTTTGAAAAGACCTTCGACAGCGTCGACCGAGAAGTAATTTTGCAATTGCTTTAGCACTACGGAGTGCCACAAATCTTTATCAACCTCATTGAACAGCTATATGACGCCGTCACATGCCAAGTGATCCACAATGGAAAGCTCAGTGATGGCTTTGAAGTGAAGACAGGAAGGAGTAAGACAAGGCTGTTTACTATCACCCATGATCTTCCTGATTGCGGTAGACTGGATCATGCAGCGAACCACGGGGAGCGAGAAGCTGGGCATACGCTGTTTGAACAATGAAAAGACCCTGGAAGGAGATTTGGATTTCACCGATGATGATTTACGTCTAATGTCGCACAAACTGGAAGATGTCCAGGCGAAAACTAACAAGTTGACAGAAGAGGCGAGGCAGCGAAAACGGGACTTCAAATGAATGTAGAGAAGACAGAGGTGATGATGATGATGCCCAACCAACAACAGCATCAACAACAACAGGCACCAATCACCATTAACGAGAGAAACCTAAATGAAGTTGTCCCTTTCACTTACCTAGGCAGGGCAGCGTCGTTTCAACTACAGATGGCATAGGCACAGACGAGGATTTCAAAAGGAGGATCGGAACGACAGCAAGACAGGCTTTCATTAATCTGAAATGTGTGTGGAGATCTACTGCACTCAGCACAAAGCGTGAGCAAGATCCGGATTTTCAACACCAATGTGAAGATAGTGCTTCTATGTGATGGTTCAGAAACTTGGCGCGTTACGAAAAGCACTTCCAACAAACTACAGACATTCAGCAGCAGCTTCCAACGACGCTGGCTCGTTACTGAAGATCAGATGGCCAGAAAGAATAAGGAACAAGGAACTCTGGCTGGCAATGAACCAACCAAGAGCGTGTCACCCAACAAATATGCAGAAGAAAGTGGAGATGGATTGGGCATACACTGAAAAGGTCGATTGGAGACATCACGCGTCAGGCCAGACCAGTTCGTCGAGTGGAGCCGAAAGGGGAAACGACGAGTTGGGTGTCCGAGGCGAGGGTGGCATGGAGGAGATGATGTGAGGAAGAAATGAAAGGTTGTGAGCAGTCATGGCGCCAGGTTGAAAAGACTGCAGAGAAGGGAGTGGAATGGAGACGTGCTACTGAAGCCCTATGTTCCACTAGGAACCCTAGGGAAAAATAATAAATAATGATATATCCTGAGACAATTTGCTTCATAAAAGATCTTAGCTTTCTGTTTTTGCGATGATAAACAGTCATTAGAATTCTGACATGATCAAATTTTCACAGCTTTCTACTTACCCTAATTTGTTAAATGAGAAGGTTGGTTTATCAAGTTAGTGACTAGCATTTAAGTTCAGCAATGCCTTATGAATAGGCAGTTAGTGTAGGAAAAAAAGCGAACAGCTGTATGCGCTGTTATTTGATTGAATAGCTGAAAACATTACTCACTGACTAAAGTAGTTTTTTAGGCATTTTTCTCAGTTCAGCTCCTAGATTACGTGAGTCGAAATCTGAAGACACGTTTATTCTAATGCATACTTTCCCCCTTGTCTACTCGTGTGTGATGTGTATAGCACAGTAATGTCTATGAGTGAAGCACCGGGTGGCACTTGTTTGGATCTCTTTGAGAGGATATTGATTACCTTGAGCTGAAGACATTAGTGATATAACTCATTGACTTGAACAATCAACTTCCAAGCGATGAATGCCAAGTTCAAATCCACTTCCGCAGATTGGATCATAAGCCGTCGCACAGTGTGGCTTATAGCCTAGAATAAAAGCATGTATGGGGTCTCTAAGCTGCATAATTATTTTATTTTAGTTTGGTTATTTGATATACCACACACTGGAGCAGTATAATTTACTGGATACTGTTTCAGATACAATTTATTGTGTATATTCACACCAGGACAATAATTTATGTCCGAAACGGTATCCAGTAAACAATACTGTTTCACCTTGTAACATAATCGATGTAACATAATCAATGCATCATTACTATTATTAGTTATTGCTCTCATATAATACAAGCGGGTGTTCAGTAATACGTGTGGATACAATTATGAAGTTTCTTTATGAAATTTAGTGCTGTTTCTAAGTTTTCATTTTGGTTTACTTCCAACCATGTGGATATTAAATATTCAACTTATCAACTTATTTCAAAAGGTTTGGTGAAAGCTGCATTAACTAACCCGTCGAATTCGAAACCTGGTGATTTCCGCGCTACATTTGAAGCACAAATTCGAAAGGCTGATATAGTTTTTCTAAGAACATTTTTTGCTGTTGAATTACCCAACTATTACAATCCAGTACTAAATAGATTGGTACCCATTGTTGGTGAGAAGGATACAAAGTCTGGAGGTTGGCGTCTACTTCGTACTTTAGGCGAACTCAAATGGGAAGCCGGAATAAAAACGGAGTGTAACCCGGACTCTCAATATAAGGTGAGTAAAATGAAATAGTTCTGATTTTCTGTGAATTTTAAACACTTTATTTCTAATGCATTCTAATCTCAACTGTAAAACCTAAGCCGTACAGAAGGCAGATTGCTATAGTTTTAACAACTGTAGAATGTAGATGGTTAGACTATCTATGATAGTTTAGCTTCGATCGACTAATCTAGGTAGTACTAGATATCATGGAGTTGATTACTCTCTAGTGACCAATCAATCTACCTAATCTAGTCATACAGGAGGTCAATCGAAGCCTGAATAGCTCAATAAAATCGCTAGCTGCGCAATACTAAGAGACGCGGGTTTGAATCTAGGTCCACAAATTCCTGTCGATCGCTTTCAACCATCTAACGTCAATCATAGAGTTGTTTGAATGTTAACTCAAAATATTTCCAGGTCAGTCAGGTATTTATGTCAATATATCCATAAACTCAACTGCACCCTTGGAGTAAGTTATCTGAGATCCTTTGTTGGAAATCTTCAACAAGACATTAAATAACATCTCTCGAATTAGTTACCCAATGGGGAAGGAAACAAATGATGAGAAATTCTATCGGTCACATCGTATTGATACCGGTCACATTGTAGTCACTTAATCAGCTTTCCTGTTGATTCACATAGTTTGAAGTCACTTACAATTGACAGTGAGAATTCGTCTTCTAAAAATCACTGAATCCGTCCCTATCAAGAGGACCGAACATGAGCTGTGTGCATGAAAACATTTCATGCATTCTCTTGTTTTTTATTTTGTTCCACTAAGGCAAGAGTTGTATGATTCAGTTCCATTATGACGCAACTGCCTAATGCATATTTCTGAAAGTCACTTGTGTTAACACTTTTTGTCTAAGTTGGAGTTTTGTATTTTTGCCGTTATATCATCTCAATAGTTATCGTGAAATGCCTTTTAATATCTCTTTGCTTAGTTTCTGTTGAGATTTTTATGAACTGTTGATTATCCGATATCATATAATAAAATTTTTATGGAAACCTTCGATGGACCATTTTGGCTGATGACTAACATTGGTGTTCGTTCGCTAGATATATCAGATTTCTCTTCACTTTTGCTATGATGACTTTGATGGGTGTCACCTACATAGATGTTCGATTCTAGATGAGTTCATCTCGTATCCGTTTATTTTTTAATCGAAAATAGAATCTCCACATGATAGATTGTTGAAAACGGTGAATGGAAGTACGAGGATACTTTGTGATCACTAAAATGAAAGATAATGTTACAATTTATATATTCACCGGTTCTTATTTTAGCACAAACTGACTTGGTTACTGCTTCATTCAGTCATAGCTCAACATCAGTTCTAATAGGCTGATGATAGGGGAAATCACGCTGTAGATACAGAAAACTCGTTTGGTATGTGTCAACTTAAAACACTTAAAGTACCATAGACGCATTTGGATGCCTATCTGTAACCGAGATTGCTGCACAATAATGTTTCGTGTTCCATTCGTCATGGGGCATGACGATTACGGGTAAGTGGCACAAAAGTTCAACGTGGCATTGAAAAGGTATGTGATAAAAGCACAGTGGTCAATCTTCTGGTTAGTTTCCCGTTGTGTCTATTTGGCATCTAATAACTCTACACTTGTTTGCCGAGATCCTGGTGGTAGAATTAATGAATGATAACGTGTATTTCGCTGTCTGTCTTTTGTCGATTTTCTCCCTGTATTGATATAAATGGTGGCAACATGTATGATTCCAGATCTCATTTAAGTTATGTATGTTTGTTTATTTATCAACTTTGTGATCCGATTTCCTGACTAACATATTTTTTATTCTGTAAACTACCATTTCTTTTTAATAAATACAGCCTATTAATCGTCCAGTATATGTCCCTGCACCTTTACGTGTACCAACGAAACTGGTTGCAGCTCTTCCATTTGCACATAAACCTAAACCATCTCGTAAAGAAGCGCTAGCTATGCTTGGTGGTGATCCTGTGAAGGCTGCATTAAATGCTGAACTACCACCACCAGTTAAAACTATGGATGAAATGGAAGCTGAGTCAAGGCAAGAATTAATTACACGTCTTCGTCAGTTACATTCAGATTTCTTACAACATCAAAAAGAAAAGATGATCAATCGAGTGACAAAACATAAAAAGCAGTTGGCCAAAGAGAATGCTACTAAAGCTGTTAATGAGCGTAAAAGACGAAAAGAATACTTTGCACGTAAATCTGGTGGGAAACGTGCTCGTCTAATAAAGGGTGGCAAATAACGTAACATATATATAGTTCTTTTAGTCTTGTACATAATATTAATGATATATGAAGCAGTTTTGTTTTTATTTCTTCTTCCTCTTTCGTATATATTGACTGAAGACATCTAGGGAAAGCTTATCATAGTCTCTTAGTGGATGTTTTATGAAAATCCTGACTATTGATCTGAGCAGTGTTGATGATTGTAGGCTTCATAAGATTTCCAGAATTGATGATTGGGGTTATTATAGGCTAAAGTCACTAACAGTTGTAGACAAACTTCCACATCTTGTTCTTGCCTACACTTTGAACAGCGTCTGTTTATCGTTATTTTCATCTTTGCAGTAGAAATGAGGACTTATCAAGACCGAAGCTGTATTAGGTTACTACGTTAAATGACGTAAAATGGCTAAAAGGACTTGTAAATGTAATAAGACATCAGAATTTTAAGTGTAATGTGTGAAAAGATGTTATTTGCTAGTTATCGGGTGAAATAAAGAGATTTTGAGTGTAAAATATTCTTATAGGTCGTGCCCATTGCAACACGAATGACTGGACAAAGTTTTTTGAGTGCAGAGTTCAGACTTCAAAATATTAATTGCCACCGCTTGCACGAGCTCTATAGATAACTCTGAATTAGTTATTCGCATTTACCTGGTTGTCATATTCGATTAAATACTAAAATTGAGCTGCTCTTTTCTGTAATTAGGCTGGTATATTTTCAAAAGTGCGTTTAGAAAGCGAACGTTGACTTTTTTCCCCATTTGTTCAATCTGTTGTTTGTTGCACACTGCTCTACTGGTGCAAATTGCTACGAACTGAGCCTGTACGACAATCCCAGGTACCATGTCGTCTGTTTATCAGTTGATTATATCCATTTTCACAAAGATTTCCAGATGACATATTTAGTCTGTAGCCCAGTTTTTGGAAATTGATGGTATATTACGAAGAAGTCCAACTCATTTGGTCTTTCGAAGTTACATATATGTTTGAAAACATCATGACGAATCCGAGTAAACAGAACCGTATTTTGTGTTTTACTTTAAGATCATTAGATATAACAAATAAATACATATCATGTGGAATTAAAGGTGATTTTGAAGATCTAGTTTTACAAAGGTTGCGACAAGATGATTCGTAAGGAAAGTCTACTGTCACTGGGTCAGAAAGATTCAACTTTTGACCATCTTTTTCCAAATTTCAACAATACGTCGTCGCGTATGCTGAAAATGTACAATCAGTTAACACACTTATTTATGTTCACTTTTTATAGATGCTTTGCTTTTATTTTGATGGATTTACTGTATGAGTTTACCAAACTCACCGACTTTCTCTCTATAATTGCAGATGGGACTGTCAAGCTACTTACTAATTATGAGTAGTAAAGTGTTTTTTGTAAAGCGTGGCAGCTCAGTTGACTTAAAGTGTGCAGCTTACATTTCTTATGGTGTTGAAGATCGTAGCTACTTGCAAAAGAGTACATGAACAGTGATTTTATGAGTTTTTAGGTTTATTTGCTCAGATATCACTCAAATAAACTCGTAGTGTGTACTGAATGTGATTAGTTTGAATTTTCGAAGCCTTACATGTAGCACTGCTATGATGTTCGGTAGTGGTGTTAAACACTGAGGCCTGCATAGCGAAGTGAAGTTCCACAAGAAACTTCAGTTTTTAAGGCACCACAAAACAAATGGCCGACGTAACCTACCACTTGCTCTTCTTAAGAATGGTGGGGGAACTGCCTACATTTTTTGAGAAGGTATGGTATGGTAAGCTGAGCGTATCCCATGCTCTAGGATTTTCCATTAGTGTGCAGTTTCCATGAGAAGTTCGCTAACATGAAGAAACTCTAATCCTATAACAACCCATGTAGACAGTGTGTATGCACCCTTTTTCCCCAATGGTTCCAAATCAACAGTGGGGTTAGATAGCTTTTCGGTTTAGTCATTCTTGTTTAACTTTGCTACTGATGACGTTCTACAGGCAGCTTTAAGGTGTTTTGAGGCAGTCTATATCTGGTACCAGGTGAAAGACTTTAGGTATGCAGACGATATCATTTCATTGTGCGAAAAAATGCAACCTATATAAATCATACTCTTCCAGTTAACGGTCAGTGTCCGTTACTGCAATATCTACTTCGCATCGTCGAAGTGCTAATTGCTCCTACAAGATTGGCAAGAGCCTGCACCTGCACACACCGTTGTCACTGAACTGTTGGGAGTTGTCGGAAGGTTTGCGTATGTAGATGGCTCTGTCAGTGCTGTTGGCACCAGAGTGGTCTACATGAATTTGTGTTCCCTTTACCGCCTTCATAACGTTGACGTGTTTATAAAAGGCCGAGTGTAGAACTCGTTGGTGTAAACAGTTTTGCCCTTTGCCTAGAGAACGTAACGTGTTTGAGCTGAAGAAATCTGATTGCTCCTCGTTTTCGATCATCCTTGTTTCCCTAAGAATGATTACATTCTGTGGGAACAGCACGTAAGTAATTCTCAGGTGAGATATTGTGTTTGGGCATGATATAGATCATCATTAATTGGTGAGATCATTTTCAGACATCAGCGGCGATGGTTAGCGAATGTCTCATGATTATCATCCTGGTGGCTCCGAATTCGTTCGTTATTCGCTCACCTTAAGACTGATCAGAAAAAGCATCATGGTCGTCAGCGTTTCGACGTGAAGATTTGGCATCAATAGAAGTAGTGTTAGACTGGCTGATTTTAGTAGCTCATGTCTCTGAATGGTGCCCGACAGCATGAAGGTAAGTAATTCTTTTGAACGACGTGAAATATCGCTTGGAATCAAAACTAATGGAAATCATGCTGCAACTGTTTTCGTTCTTTTCGAAACGTGAGACGAAAGTAGTGAGAGTTTGAATCTATCATTGGGACTGCGTATATAGTAACCTATTTCCAACTTAGTGTCCGTTCTCGTATTCTTCTTTTGGTATTGCGTTTATCTTTTCCTTCATGTCCCTATATTGTCTTGCAAGTCTCAGCTCATGCTGCAAATATCATACCAGTTTTCTGCTCTCAATAAGTAAACCATCTATGTAGTTCAACTGGAAGTTGTAATGCAAAAACAGAATCAACGTAGACGCTCCCATTCAGGTGCACCGCCTCAAGTTGACCCACTTCACAGTAGTAAAAAAGAACAGGTGGATAGAATAAGAGTGATATCAAAGTAGACAAACTTCTGTGGGAAAACAAGCATTTAAACATAAAGGTTAGTGAGAATATTCAAGCATTATAATTTGTCAAGGAGTGAACATATCGGCGCCACCATGACCGACTTTCAACCATCTCAACAAGAGTCTTCAAATACCAATTCCTTTCGTCTTGAGCACACCAACCAGGCAGTTCACATCTACCCACACCACTCACACCAACAGTTAGAGACTTCATTGATTGATATCAGGTCTGACCACTCTGAAACCCTCATCCAACATAGTTCAACTTCCATTAGCATGGCAAGTCCACATCCACGTAGGTGGTCATTCGGTATGCACAGTACACATCCAAATCATCTCACCCAGTAAAGGTTCACAACATCATCAATCAACCTACCTATCGTACCTAGTACCCTACGCCTGACCTCAACATCGCTCACACCATGATTCCACCACACACGAGCAATGCTATGAAGCCACCGATGATCAGATCACTGTAACTGCTTCATGTCTTCCACATTTTACACCCATGTCTCCAGGCCGTACAACAAGACAGGATGGTCTGCAGCATATTATACTCGCTCGACCACTGATAAATAGTCGGATATGTCACCAGTCGGCAACACACGGGACACATGTTGCCAAATGCCAAACGAGTCTTCTGTATCCGAGCTCAGATTTTGTCAGCAACCAGCTCGTTCTGGCTGACGTAACTCTCGAAGTAAGTGAGTTGGTCGACACAGTCCACCACTTCACCGCCTTCCTATCATTAAACTCGGAGTACTTGCAGCAGATCAGTAGTGGAGCATCATCTTACATTTGACAAGTCCCAGTGAAACGCATACCAAACACACACACACACAGACTTCTCCTCAACGCGTTCAGAAGACCCTACATTCTGTTAGGGTCTTCACTTAGGAGGACATTATCATCTGAATACTCCAAAGCAACCAGATGACCTCCAGACATTTCATCAATCCCTAAGGTCATGTCTATTAGTACGTCCATGAAGAAGTTAAATAAGAACGCTGACAGTGGACATCCCTGGCGAACATCACTAGTTGTCGTCAATTCTGATGATAACTCTCCATAAGCACTTACACAGCTGCGTGAGGTCGAGTAGAGAGCTTCGATAAACATTGTATACTTGCTTGGTACTCCGTTCACAGTTGGACACTGCCACAACACCTCACATTCGACTGAGTCAAATGTCGCCTGTCTCCAGGTCAAGAAATATGACGATTATCAGTCACTGGTCGTTAGGTATGCCTGTGTCCCAGGAATTGAGGGAGGGTGAGAATATGATGGATGCACTCTCGTTCAGATTTGTCTGTAACCTGCCTGGTTTTCTCAAGTTTGCTATCTTCGAGCTCTAGTTAAGTATTGTAGAACTGTGAACTCACGGATCACGAACAGGATATCAAGTGATGATCAGAGAAGTACACCAGTCTGACGGCACTTCCTTTGATTCCCATACGCTACATTGTACCTCTGTCACTTTTAAACATCAGGTGTCAATTTGTTAGTTCTTGCTACTTTGCGAAGTAACACTCAAATCGATAAATGGTTTTTATCCGGTTAATTTGCACATGTATATGCATTATCATCCAAAATATGAGTTTCAAAAAGAATATGGTTTTTAGTTTTGTATATCTTATTGGACTTGGTTTAATATCCCTGCTACTTTATACTTCTTTCAATTTGCTTGCATGTGGTTTTATACATTGTACTTCATAGTTCCATTATTTCTTTTTTTGTACACTTATTGTTATCCTCTTCAATCCTGTATCGTTATTTCGTGTCTAATATGCTGTGACATCTAGGCACTCAGAGAAGTATTTTTTTGGATATGTT